ATTATCCAATCTCTAGGGCGTCGCTGTCAATACACCAAACGGACCTGGCAGATGGACTGGTGGAGGGCACGTTTGGAGCTGAAAGGACGATTCCCCAAGTGATATCACCACCTGTAGAGTGTTGAGCTGACTTGCTGTTGGTGTTTTAAAGTTGAGTCGCCAACCCCTATACCTTTACCTTTGTGATAGGGATTTATAGAAGGCACATTTCAATCTATCTACCACCCGACTGATTTACCATCATGATATCGTGTTTGTATAGTATTTTTAGTATAAGTTTCAGGTTGAGTCTCAGGTTGAGTCTCAGGTTGAGTCTCAGGTTGAGTCTCAGGTTGAGTCTCAGGTTGAGTCTCAGGTTGAGTCTCAGGTTGAGTCTCAGGTTGAGTCTCAGGTTGAGTCTCAGGTTGAGTCTCAGGTTTAGGCTCAGGTTGAGTCTCAGGTTGAGTCTCAGGTTGAGTCTCAGGTTGAGTCTCAGGTTGAGTCTCAGGTTGAGGCTCAGGCTGAGGCTCAGGTTGAGTCTCTGGTTGAGTATCAGGTTGAGTCTCAGGTTGAGTCTCAGGTTGAGTCTCAGGTTGAGTTTCAGGTTGAGTCTCTGGTTGAGTCTCTGGTTGAGTCTCAGGTTGAGTCTCAGGTTGAGTCTCTAGCTGATTTGAGATTCTATACATCCTGTATCACAGCTTTTTACGTATTATTATTCTTACTGTTGGCTCTTCGCCTGGATGACACATCGGCTCCCTTCATCAGACCATTATTCGCATGATTACACTAAATCTGCACAGCTGCACGACACAAAAGTACACACAATAAACTAAAAGTTCTCCTCACTTCTCCGCTCAGGTTCTGCGTCACCGCCGCAACACGTACTCATATCCCTGTTACAACCCTCCTACGGCTTCCTTCTTTTCGATTCTAGTTTTGGTGGGTGGTATGTTATAAGCACGGTTTCTGTTCTACATTGCTGTCATACTTAGTCGTGTTTAGCGTTAAATACCGGACTGGTTGATCATTTACCAGGATTTATAAAGATAGCTGTTTTTATTGGCACTGTTTGTGCTCCCTGTATTGCTCAAGTTCAGACTGAATACAAGCGCAAATAGTTCTCCAGGCTGGGTACACTACTAGCAAATAGTTCTCCAGGCTGGGTACACTACTAGCAAATAGTTCTCCAGGCTGGGTACACTACTAGCAAATAGTTCTCCAGGCTGGGTACACTACTAGCAAATAGTTCTACAGGCTGGGTACAATAGCAAAAAACCTTGTCAAACGTCACGTGTTGCAGTAAAAGAGTAAAACTTTCAACAGAAATAGAGAGAGAAGGGAGCATGTTTTGACTTTGTAAAGTGCAGTTTCGAGGTATTTCTTAATTAGGTCCAACTACCACGCCCCCTTCGTGGCACCTTGCAACTGGGCCAGTCACACTTTGTACTCTACATGCACTTCTAGGTTTGTCCTTGAGTTTACCAATTGATTGTTGTTAGTTATACTGTTATAGTATTTTCTGTGTAGTCAAGTTTTGCGGATTAAGTTTTTACCTATTATACATTATACAAGCCTGATCGAGGATTGGAATATACGGTTAAGTTGCTTGTTAACTATTATGAAGTACGCGTTTATTGCTTTCGTTAGTTTGCTTGCTGCTTCACCAAGAAGCCTTTAATTCTTAACTGTACAACTTTTTCTATTCCTTCTCTTCTATAGTTCTTATAGTATACCGCTTGTCAATCAATTAAGTTTCTTGTCATAATATAGAGACCTCACCTATCTAAAGTTTAATAAATAATTTAACTTGCCCAGAAGATATGAATTATATTATTAATTCTGGTCTGTCAATCAGTCCATAGTCGCCAGGAATAAGCCCTACCATAAATTTAAAGTTTGATAACATTAACAAAACTTCGCTAAGCACTACTTAATACGCAGAGAAAACCAATTATAACACTTAACTTTTACATATTCGTAAGCTGTCATTAAAGTTAAAGTTTAAATTTTAAAGGACACATTACATATATATCTGGCAGCCATTATTTCCGGCCAACCTTTTTCATATAGGTATTATTATTTATTGAGACTGATATCAACTATCCAGACCTGTGTTATAAAAGAAACGCAGACTTGCGTTTTAAAAGATTTAGACATTTCACAATGCTTAACGGTTAATTATAGTGTTATGTAACAGTTAAGTTTCGGAAATCGGAATATCTCCTTTATTTGACTCAGAATCTTCAGAATGTAACAGTTTCAATCAGAACTTTCACTCAAAATCAGTCGAAATCTTCCTATTAGATTACTAAAAAGTAACTTACTTCGTAGTAATAAGTTACTTCGTAGTAATAAGTTACTTCGTAGTAATAACTTACTTCGTAGTAAAAACTTACTTCGTAGTAAAAACTTACTTCGTAGTAATAACTTACTTCGTAGTAACAACTTACTTCGTAGTAATAACTTACTTCGTAGTAACAACTTACTTCGTACTTTATTAATGATTATGAGAAGCTGTAAAATAGTGTTATAAACATGTTGCCGCGAATGTTATTTGATTGTAATAAGTAAAACACGAATAGTTTAAGTCACATTGAGTAAGTCATAGCTTTGAATCTTTGATGTTCATCTCAAAAATTTATCAAGTTCGTAATTTGATCAAATAACGAACTTTATAAATTCTTGAGATGAACATCAAAGCTATTATAATTTAATGCGACTTCAACTATATGCATAGTTTATTTCTTTACTAGACTATTTTGTTAAAACTCTCCTTTAAAGTTAACCTATTTTTATTGCAGTTTTTAAACGCATTTTCTCATGTTCTTCTCGTCGATGAACCATGTCCTTCTTATTTGTTGTCATTCGAAGTTGATATCAATATGTATTTGGTTAATGGTTAATTCGATTTAACAATTTGCATTTATTGCAACAATAACACGCTCGTTCTATTCTAACAATGACACATTTTTGATAAATATTGCAATTCTAATTGTTCCATACTTAGATACCGTCCCTAACTATTTACATTTCGGACGGTTTTTTGTTTGTATTTTTTTCAGGGAAACTGCTGCAGTTGGTACCTGGTCACACGTTTGCAACTTCCTACTTTCGCTTTACTATTTATTACTGTTTAACATGTTAAATTATTTCACTTTCTACTGGGCATAGACCATATGGGCTGGTCGAAACTAATACAATCTGACCACGCTGAGAACTCAGTTCAGGCCATATTCAGGTTTTATTAGCGATATAGCGACTGTAAAACTGGTGTTTCACCCCACTGTTCAGCTCAACTAATCTAATTTCATTCCGTTTTCCAGCAGTTTAACAGATATTTCAACTCTGCTGTTGTAACTGTTTTAATGCTGAGATGGCTAGCTGAAATAAATTTTATCGTTTCTTTTTTAATCATTTTGCTGGTTTCTTTAAAAACATAAACATCTTTATTTTAGTTGGCTTATTTTTGACCCAATTGAACAAAAAATGCTTTATTTCTTCAATCTTATTAGAATTCAACACATTACGATAAATTTATATTTTCTTCTAACACATACGTTATTTAATGACAGAAGCAAATATAGTAATCTTTTGAGATGCGTCATGGCATTATGTAAAACATCTTGGCTCAAACTGCGATGAAAGATAGCATCACAATTATATTACTCAATTAATAATTGAAGTTTTGTAATGTTTCTTAACAAGTCATATATTGTTTCAAATTATATCACTCTGCCATGCCTCGATTGTTCATACACACACCCTGATGTTACGTAATATTAGATGTATGTTTCATAAATACACGAGTCAGCAAACAATTAACATTCACCTGTAATTACAACGTCCTGTATACATGCAGAATGCAGATACACAATTTTGCATTATAAATTAGCTATGTTGCTTCAATTCTTTTCAACTGCACTCAGCTTTGTGAAAAGAATTGAAAGGTGATGAACTGTTATAATTCGGCTTCAAAGCTTGCCTCAATTTCCGGAGAAACATATACCGGGAATAACCGATATCTTGTTTTACAATTCGTCAACAAATACACGTACTCTATATCTGTCTGACTGTCTCGTGTTGGCTTACTGAGGTCCAACAGTGTTTGTAGCAGGTATTTGGCCTTGTTGACGATTACTGTGTGCCAACCTATTTTGGAATAGCACATGTGAATAGACTATACCGGTATACGTCTATTTTAGATATGTGTTTTTGATATGTTTTGGTTTCTTTATTAATTGGTCGCTTGTAGAATGTAGCTGTTAATTTGTTAATTTGTTCGTACCTGCAAGCCAATTTATTCGATATACCATTGAGTTTCATAGTTTTAACGTATTTTTAAATAATTGAAACTGTAGAGATACTATCATTTAAATTGATTGGAATACATCCAGGAAACCAGAATGTTTGCTCATTTATAGAAACTCTAAAACCAAAAGTAAATCTTCTTATTCTATGCTCAGTCGTTAATGACGTCTACAGAAGGTATTACTCGTTTAATTATTCTAGTTGTCATCGGTTCACCCGATACCAGTTGTTCGACTGATGAGCGCATATCATGGGTATGATATAATATATCCCTCAATTACACTGACCTGCAGTTTTGTCTACTAAATTAAAGTGCAATTCGCCAATCACTCTCTCGAAGCGTTTTCTCGTTTTCTTGACGCCCTACAACTTTACAAGCACCATTCTGATTCGTGCTCACCCAATCCGCCTAGTAATCGGGCTGATAATCGCGGGAGTCGGGACAATTAATTTTCCGACGTTCCACTTTCGTATCCGTCTCTTTATGTGCATACTGCATACTGTGTTTCTTCTAAATTTATAACCATGTCATTCGACATTCCTTAGTTTCGCACGTTTTAATAATCGAGCAAAATAACCACGTTCAATACATTGCAATAACTCTTTCGGTCCATCAATCAACAACCTAATTGGTCTATTTTTAATAATTTAATTTAATTTTTTTTTATTAATTTAATTTCGGTAACTCTTTCTGACTCCTTATCTCCTTTAGTAATGATCTCGCCATGTGCCTCGTGCGGTAAAGCAGTCTACCCTACAGAGAAACTAAACTGTCTGGACAGGACATGGCACCGAACCTGCTTCAAGTGTCAGGAATGTGGAATGACCCTTAACATCAAGAACCATAAGGGGTATGAGAAGAAGCCGTATTGTAAAGCTCATTATCCCACGGTTAGTGCTATTGCAATAATTAACTTCACACATCACTTCCGGTGTTTTAACTGAAGTTGATTCCTCCGTCTGGCACAGGCTCATTCTGATTCACTAGCATTTAGTAAAATATTACATTTCTTGTAGAACTAGGTACAAAATTAATCGAACCTAGATAATTTCCCAGAGTCTTAGGAAAACACTTTTTTCCTAGGTGAAATACACCCAAGTGGCAGAGACTCCAGAAAACAAACGACTCAAAGGAAACTCCGACGCGAACAGTAAAGCAAAATACCAGGCAGAATTCCAAAAACAAAAAGGAACTAAAATCTCAATCTCCGACGACGCTGCTGGAGAGCAACTCAAACAAGTTCAAGCCTTTCAGAGCCATTCTCAATATCAGAAAGAATTTAAAGAGTCAATCGTGGGTTCCAAGACATCTGTAGCACACGATATGGACAGCATGAGATTAAAGCAAGTACAGGAGCAATCCAGCAAATCGGCTTATCAGAAGGAATTTAACGAACAAATAAAAGGATCTGCAACCGCAACTACAAACGATATTAAAGGAGCCTATCTGAAGGACCAACAGAGCATGAACAAGTATCAGGAAGAGTATAAGAAGAACATAAGAGGAACTAAAACCTCGGTAGCTGATGATCTCATGGCCAGTCACTTGAAAGACGCACAGACCAAGATATCAAGCATTGGGTACAAGCAAAAGACTGTCTCCGGGTCATCCAGACCAACTTCAATGATATCAGAAAGTGGTTCCATTGTTATTGAGGACGAGCAGGTTGTTGTGAAGGGTTCCTCTGAAAATGACTCAGGTATGTGGAACTTGGAAACATACGAATTGTTAAATCAAAAGTAGGGATTTCTAGATAGTAAGAGGAAACTCTAGACTATCTCAAATATTTCTCACTTATCAACTTTCAGGGTTCGAAGAGCCAACCAGCCTGTCTGTCCCACCAGAATCTAACTCAATCTCTACCGACCCGGATCTGACACCAGTAGTAAATCATGAGTGTGAAGATGATGTATTTACCACATCAGTTACTGAAACTGAGGTTCCTCAACCTGTGAAAACAGTCAATGGAACAGAGAACAGAGACCTTGAATCGAGTGAATTGTCAGAGTATGAAGTGGAGAGGTCGGGAAGTTTCACCTCTAATTGTAGTGCAACATCCTTTCTTCAGAGATCACCATCTGGACAGGAGTTCAACACCACAAGTACGTTCCTTAGAGAATTTTGTAGTACACTTCAGTACATCTGCACTGTAAACATAGTAATATACTATTTAATACTATATACTACCGTCAAGATCCACAAATTGGTCATTATGCATTATGATATTTGAAGCTTCGGTATTTTATCTAGATTTGAACAATAAAACATTTTCGATCGAGTGCAAATCAGTGGGCCTGAAAAACCGCGTATTTCTTCGACGATTTTCTATCTGAAACTCTTATCTATTCCACGTTAAACTTTTTATATGTTCTGCACTTTTTTGTATAGGATTGGGGAACAAACTAGAAATTCTAGACAAAGACCAACCCTCACAACCGACAGAAGTTATTCACCACCAGACTATAAGTTTGACTAAGTCTGAAGAAAGCTGCACCAAATTACGGGCCGTAACTGGGTTGAGCGATGAAAGTACAGACACATTTGAAACTGCTAGGTCAACTATCTCTGATAGCAAAGATAGTGATGTCTTGGGGGAGAAAAAGAGGTCATGTGACATCGTCAGTGATGAAGAAGGTCATAATATTGAAAAACAGCAAATGAGCGAAATTAGTCCATCCATGGAAGTTAGCTACCTTGAGTTTGATAGAATCTTTCCAAATGGAGACTCCCAAGATCAAATAGACCCACTAATAAAGAGTAGTGGTATTAATAATAGCCCCGTCCCCACAATGCCACCAAGAGTTAAACCAGAGGTTCCTAACTCAGAACCTGCTGCCACGAAACAAGGGAGGCGGTCCAAACTGCCATTCCTAGCGTCTTTGTGTCCGTGTTGTACCATATTATAGGGTGAGTGATCAGGTGATATTGTAAAGTGTAGTTGTGAAGTGTCGGCTTGAAGTACTAAATCTAACGCAGTATAAACTCCTTTTCGCATGGAACTGTTGTTGAAAGGTTTGGAAGTGAGAGTGTTGGCCCGAATTTCTCGTGAAGCACCTCAAGGTTTACACTTATCTTTGGTCATCAAACTGCCTGAAAACTAAAGGTCTTGTCTAGAATTTCCAATCTTCTCCCTCCTTATTTTTATCACTCGAAAATGAAAGCTCGCATTGCTTTTTGACTTGAAGAACCATGAAACTGGGAATCTACGAAAGCAATAACGAATGCTCACACTCACATTGTCAACAATTACTCAATTAACTATTGTACTTGTAGAAACTTTATGAACTAACAAATTAAACTTCCAGGTACGGCGTCTCCCGTATCCGTGTCAGTCAGTAGAATGAAGAAAATTCAAAAAATGTCCGAGAGTATAAACGTGTTCAGAACAACTCTAACCCAAGGAGCGCTACGCAGGCTTATCAAAGACGACTGAAACTTCGAAAATCATTAAAATACAGAGTTCAGAAATAAAAGCAGTTGATTGTTAACTTGGGAGTTAACGAGTTGACGTAGTCAGAGTGGCGACAAAGAGAGACACATACAGTGAGTGTTTACGCGGAGCATCTATATTAAATTGTAAATACGTTAAATTATTATTATTAGATATCGTCCTACAGTTTTTATGATACGAACTTTAAAATCTGAGATTTTAAAAATATTCTTATTTTGTGTAGTTCAAAAACAAAAATCATGAGCACCATGTAGATTTAATATGGATGCATGTAAACACATAGAGATAAAAAGACAGGATTCCGAGTAAATGAACTTGAGCAGTGGGAAATGTTTAGTAGCCTGAGTTGTATTCTTGAGTTGAAGCTCAGGAAAAGTGGACCGTACTCGTGGTTTTGGATCTCAAGATGGGTATTGCTGATTGTAGTTAATTTTCCTTTCGCCAACATACAAGTGTTTTAATTTATTTTGTATTTAATTCGGTGCTGCTTCTGGTTTCTCAGATGAAATTCCCATCAATTAAAAATGAAATTCATCATCTAAAACACAAATAAAGTTAAAAGTTCAAGATACATGTTATTTTCTACAATTCTCAAATATTTAAATATGCAATTGCAACTCTCTAAACATAGGGTCTCTAAAAAGTACAAAAGATGTGTGTCCATACCGACTCAAATAAAAAACAATCAAATCCGCTTGCTGAAAATGCATCGAAAAAGCGCTTGATTGTCTCGCGATAAAAGTAATAACCGTATCAGGCTATCTTCTGAATCGGTAAAGCAGGCTTCCTTGAACCATATTATATCGTAACTTACTGAGATATAAGTTAACTGAAATAAAACATAACTCTTAGTTATAAATTTACCCATTGTCAATCTGGGTCGTCCAAAATTAATCAAAATCCTTAAAAAAGGTAAATGCTTTTTAAAACACTTGAATACCTTGTGTAATGTGTGCATAGCAGTGTATGCCGATACCAGTGACACAATTTTAATAACACCTGAGTAAAAATGACAAATATCTCTGACGTTAAAGTTAAGCTGTCACGACAGGAAGCTTTCTTTGAAAATACCAATTAGTTGTATACAGATCTCACCCCACGTGACAGCTTACTCTTCAATGGAATATTCATTTTCTTGTCAATGGAACGAAGTTAATGTCTTCTTGTCACAGTCTCCAAGTAATGTGGAATTCAACATATTATTCAACAATCAACACCAACGTATCTCTTTTCATTAAATCTGCCAACTTAAGCTCATATCCTAACCTAAATCTGCGAAACAAGGCTCTCTTTCTTATTACATACGTATGTCAGTAATGTCGTAATATTGCGTGACAGAAAGATCATTGTGTGTTACACTTGTCCTTGTTACTGTTCACGTCCTTATCCTTCCGGCTCCTCCTTCTGAAAGGAGCCAGGAGAGTAGGGTTAACCTCTCTGTCTCCCTCCCCACCCTCAGTCCTCACTACAGTCCTCACCACGTCAAACCCATGCGGAGTGAGTTTAGCGCCTCCCCGTTCTAAGGAGAAATTCTTGCGGTTGTTGTCCTCTGGAGGTGGGCCGCAGTCTACAGCTCGTTCGTTGTAGGGGGAGTTGAGTTCAGGGGGTAGGGCATTGAATCTTTCCTCTTCAGATGGGTTTAAGTTTAACTTGGGTGCGGAAGTGGGGTGGTTAACATGGGTTCCTAAGGAGTCTATTTGGGACATGGATGATGCGTGCGTCGCTGGCTTAAAATCACGGGGTGATTTTCGCACACCGTTTTTTATCAAATTGATTTCGCTGTCGGAATTGCGGTGAGAATTAACAACACCGTTTGTGCGAGGTCGCATTGGCGTCGTCATCATGGATTGAGGTTCAAAGTTACTAGGCCTATGCTCCGAAGTGGACGTTATCTGCGAGGTCGGGGGAGCAGTAGCTACCGTTACCCTCCTTGTGGGTGTGGCAGGTATCTCATCTAGTCTGTCCCTCGATCGGGTATGAGATGGAGCAGGTCGCCTCCCCAGGAACCCACTATTCTTTGCGGGGGTGATATCTGTTTGTGATCTCTTCTTGGTAGAGATTGGAACCGGCAACTCTGTCAGATCATGGTTTGAAACTATTGAGGTAGTGCTGCGTTGGTTAGCTTCAGAGAATAAAATGCGGTTAGCGACATCGCTTTTGAGATCAGTATCTCTGAGTCGGTATCTGGGAGAGAAGCTGCCAGAGTCTGGGCTCTGTGAAGGATTCGAGCTGCTGTCGGATTTCATAGGAGTTTCCTGTACGATGTAGTTTACGCGGTCCAGTTCTGTTGGTCTCTGTCTTGGTTCCGGAGTCGTATTAAACATCTGAAAAAATGGTCTTTAGTGAAATTGGGCACGACGATGTTGCAAATAAGAGTGACCCAATCACGCTAATGATAGGAATGATAATTATATTGTTTTCCCAAGACTTTGGTAGCGTTTTATACTGGATCAATTCGACGTACCATGTGGACCGGGCGACGCGCGCATGCATGCATTAATGCGCGGGTGATGGCGCGTTGACAGTAAGCTCAATTGCTTTCGCGCGTTCCATATCAAATAAAAGAAGACCCTAGTCAAGATATTAGTGGCCAAACGGCCAAATTGAGTGTACTAGGCAAGTACTCTAGGTACCTTAGATCATAAGTATCAAACGAACTAAATTCAATTTAAAACGCCCGGAGATTTCAACAAGTAAACCAACTTTCTTTTCAGTAAAAATATTACCTCATCAGTATTCCTGCACTCTAGTTCACGCCTGAAAATAAAGACACAGTTTACAGGCATGCTGATCTGTTATTAACCTATATATGGCTAAGTAAAACGGTTAAATCGTTAGGCGATGCTTTTATACCCTAAAGATCAGAGTGCATATATTGTTGTAGAAGTGCCTCTTAGATATTGCATAACAACTCACCGTAATTCAACGATCTTCTCCCGCTGAAATTCTTTCTTTTTCCTTAATTTCAGCAGCTCTTCCTTTTCTTTCATCAGTCGTGAGACAAATTCTTCCTTCATGTACTCAGTATCTAAAAATTTGGATGACAAATTTATTTCCAAATCAATGAAGTTACATAGGTAGTACTTTACAGACAATGTAATGATTCATAAAACTTAAAGTTCACATTTAGACTCGCTACAAATGCTGAAACGGTTTCTCAGGTAAACCAGACAGAGTTAGTAGTTAAACTAGACTCAGTTTGTGTACAGGTTTATTATTCACCGTGGTCAGAAGAGGGTGGTATGTTGCCGAGCGTGTACTGTTTTCCACTTGTACGGGTTATGGGGGTACGTGCTGTGTCCATGATACTGGGTGTTCTTAACGGGGCTCCTGAAAAAGGAGGAGATCGTGTTACTACAAGTTCATTACATTTACAGGTGATTACCTGTAGCTCGTAACACTTATTTTGATTACATTTCGTTACGTTTTGAATCTACCGTTAGTTTTCTAGTGTTCTTAAAATATGAAAAAGTAAATTGATCATGAATAAATAAATTTTGATGCATTCAGAAGGATATGAAAAGAATGAGTTCTATGGTTTTAGGCCCCACTTCCTTTAGCAAATAGTGGAGTAAGCTCCTCATCATATTTTAATAAGAAACCATATTCTCATTTCCTTAGATAAATAATGGAAGGAATTAGATGCCATTGCCCATTACGCCGAGTAAATAATGCGTATGGCGAGACATACAAAGCACGATTTAAAGCAGACTCAGAAGTCAGAACCACTACTTTAATTAATTAATTTGGAGAATATGGCAGCTAAAGGGGCACGCCCCAATTTAAGTTTATTTAAAATGACACTAACCATTTCTTGCGAATGATACTTCCTCTTGATTGTGTAGACTGTGACCACTCCCCTCGGATCTCAAACTGTGGCGTTGTCACGTGGTTAGCAGACATATCAGATCAGTTTAATAAAACTCTAACCTTTAAAATATGCTTCATAGTTGGGCGCGTTAAAATGGTAGGTATTTATTGCGCAACATTGCCATCTCTCTGTCGGTCATCGGGATGTTTATTACTTTGAGATTTTATAAAAGTGTAGGTATTGGATTCCTAACTGACAACTTTTGGATGTAAATGGGACTGATACCAATTATTCAATTACCTCATATTAGGAGAGCTAGTAGTGGCTGTAGATGTGACAGTACGTGACGTCATCACAAGACTGCGTGACGTCATTGCGTCATCATGTGATGTCATGAGAACACCTCGTGACGTCATCACATCACCTCGTGTCGTCATCACATCACCTCGTGTCTTCATCACATCACCTCGTGTCGTCATCACATCACTACGTGACGTCATCGCATCATCTCGTGTCGTCATCACATCACCTCGTGTCGTCATCGCATCACCTTGTGTCGTCATCACATCACCACGTGACGTCATTGCATCACCTCGTGACGTCATCACACCACCTCGTGTCGTCATCATATCACCACGTGACGTCATCGCATCACCTCGTGTCGTCATCATATCACCACGTGACGTCATCACATCACCTCGTGTCGTCATCATATCACCACGTGACGTCATCGCATCACTTCGTGACGTCATCAGATCTGAACGTGACAAGCTCGATTCCCCACGTGATTTTACTCCATTTTTCAGGGGGGTCAATCTCAATTCTCCTTTTTTGTTCATCTTTCGTCTCATCTCAGGAGTCTAGAAGCAAATAATGTTAGTTCAAGCATTTATAATTAATTTATAATTAATTTATAATTAATGCATCAATTATATTCAACAAGCATTTATAATTAATGCATCAATTATATTCAACAAGCATTTATAATTAATTTATAATTAATGCATCAATTATATTCAACAAGCATTTATAATTAATGCATCAATTATATTCAACAAGCATTTATAATTAATGCATCAATTATATTCAACAAATGTTAGTTCAAGCATTTATAATTAATGCATCAATTATATTCAACAAATGTTAGTTCAAGCATTTATAATTAATGCATAATTAATGCATCAATTATTTTCAACAAATGTTAGTTCAAGCATTTATAATTAATGCATAATTAATGCATCAATTATATTCAACAAATGTTAGTTCAAGCATTTATAATTAATGCATAATTAATGCATCAATTATATTCAACAAATGTTAGTTCAAGCATTTATAATTAACGCATCAATTATTATATATATATATGTTAGTTCAAGCATTTATAATTAATGCATAATTAATGCATCAATTATATTCAACAAATGTTAGTTCAAGCATTTATAATTAATGCATCAATTATATTCAACAAATGTTAGTTCAAGCATTTATAATTAATGCATCAATTATATTCAACAAATGTTAGTTCAAGCATTTATAATTAATGCATCAATTATATTCAACAAATGTTAGTTCAAGCATTTATAATTAATGCATCAATTATATTCAACAAATGTTAGTTCAAGCATTTATAATTAATGCATCAATTATATTCAACAAATGTTAGTTCAAGCATTTATAATTAATGCATCAATTATATTCAACAAATGTTAGTTCAAGCATTTATAATTAATGCATCAATTATATTCAACAAATGTTAGTTCAAGCATTTATAATTAATGCATCAATTATATTCAACAAATGTTAGTTCAAGCATTTATAATTAATGCATCAATTATATTCAACAAATGTTAGTTCAAGCATTTATAATTAATGCATCAATTATATTCAACAAATGTTAGTTCAAGCTTTTATAATTAATGTAATTAATGCATCAATTATATTCAACAAGCATTTATAATTAATGCACCAATTATATTCAACAAATGTTAGTTCAAGCATTTATAATTAATGCATCAATTATTATATATTCAAGCATTTATAATTAATGCATCAATTATTATATATTCAAGCATTTATAATTAATGCATCAATTATATTCAACAAATGAGTCTTACATTTTACTCTTGTTCATTTTACACATTTGCTCACATCACTCACAGTCAGCCGCTCTGACATGGTTAACCACCTTCCTTGTGTTGTTGGTTAATCATATGAGCGGGATATAAATACCTCATTTCATTTCATTTCATTTCATAAATAGACATATATTTCTGCTATTGTTGCTACCTGACAGGTTGGTCTAGATGATTTACCTACTTCTAAATATTATACATAAATATTCAGCTACAGTCTGCTTTATAACCCTTGTATTGCACGACGCAAATATAACCATTTGAGAGATCACAGCGATATACACCAAACCGAGGAAGGCAGGACAGGGTCAGTTATTCAACCGACAGAAACTACTTAAAAGTGAGATCACGGACCATCAGACCATGATAGCGTGTTGAATTTCACCCAAAGTACCAGAGTCCAGATTGACCAATTTTGGATAATGGGCGGGAAATGGGACATGGCTCTGCGTAAAAATAGGTATTATAACCCGATAAAGCTTCAGTGACATTAGACCTACGCTGTACGTACGTACGTACAAAATAAGGCTCCAGTTTAAACCACACCCTTTCTGCATGTCATGCTGTCATTGCGACAAGGAGCACATAGTTCCACCCAACTTCAGGGTAGCGAGAGCATGCAGGGCGGGTAGCTAATATGTACTAGATATAATATTATGAACTGTGTAAATAAAGTCGACTTTAACCTCACAACCTTGTTCCTCTGAGACATTACTTGTTTAATAATAGTACGCACCATCCTGATTTATGATTTACTGGACCGAGAATACTTATCACATGAACATGAACATTGATTAAATTCCTCTGGCAAGATTCCCAGTTAGTTTAATAATACTATATGCTAGAAGTCTCGTGAATGTTTTCTAAATTTTAACTCCTATTTTTGAAATAAAACTCTTCTGTTATAGCGATATTTAGGTACAAACACCTGCACCACCGCTGTAATATAAAATCAGGAATATCTTTAGCGGCAATGTTTGGTAGTAGTGCCGTTGACTGACAAAGTGCTTAAAGACCACTCAAAAAATCCGAGGTTTTCAAGCACTTTTGACACATTTATGACAACTTGTGGCATTTAAGGGTGTTCAAAAAGGGGGATTCTGGGAGCCGGCGATTGATTCTGATGGTTTTTAGGGATAATTCTTTACCCAAAAAATAAATTTGTTGGAAGGATTCATAATTTCAAAAATGTGTCTTTATAAGCACATTTTCCAGAAAACGGCAGAGTGTTGTCCGTTAGTAAATTATAGCAACTGTAGCTGACACATTTTTTCAAGATATTAAACCTCTAGAGAACTATTTGTTGCTACTAAGAGAAACCCTACTACAACTAACTAGAACTTAATATCTGAAAACGTTTTTAAAGCGCCATAATATCAGCACTAGAAGTATACCAGCAGCACTAGTAAAAGTAAGATACTAGTTTTACAGCACACAGACTTTTTGACTAAACCTGCCCTAAACCGGCCTTAAAGCGGCCAAAGTATCATCACTTCAATTTGCTAATTAACACTTCTAACAAAACTGACTAACACGTTTTAATAATAACAGTCAATATTTTGTGCTGTACTAAAGCTTCAAAAAGCTCTATAAAAGTTATGAAGAACACGTCAGTAATTTCATGGACACTGGCTAAAAACAAAGTTAGTGTTGACATCCACTCATTTGGGCTTGTAAATCCGTCACTAAGAAATTGACATTGTACTCTAACAATACTAACAGCGACACTAAATAAATAGCAAGAAAAGTTTAAACAAGATCATAATTATTAGAATTAGGGTCAAATTTACACAGCGATATTATATAATATAATAAGAATACAAAATAAAAAGACAAACTGACCCCTGCTTCAATCTTCAGCTTGAGAGCTTGCACTGTCTGCGCACTGCTCTGACCTCTCGGAGGGGGAGAAGGTAGTATCTCCATCTTATCTCCACTCTCTTCATACCTGTAATTAGCTAATTAAGTTACTAATTAAATTAGTTACTAGTTTGCTGACTGATCGTGACTGGGGTGTGGTATATAGAGATTTAGTGGACCAAGTACCATGTGGCGACGAGAGAAAGTAGGTTTACTTCTTGGTCGAGACTAATTTTTGTTTTATTAAATAATTGATTTATTAGTATTACAGAGCATTCTGCTGTATATTTTAAAATAAATGTAACATATTATTATTATCTACAAGACATCATTTGCATTCTCTTGTAGAGTAAATATGCCAGTATTTGCAGAGTATTCTGCCATTGAGCAGAATTTGTCTGTGGGTAGTTAAAGTTAAGACTAATTTCTGGATGTTAATTATAAAATAAGCTGTTTCTTGAGGATAATATCAACAACAAAGCATTGAAAGTACAAATAATTTCAACGCCCTAATTCTGGAAGTTCATTACCCGCGAAGATAACGTAAAAGTTTATAAATTAATTAACTATTTGCCACAATTAGTAACTTGTAGAGTTAGCAAACTAACTGAATTACACTAAATACAGCCTCCCCCACGTTAGCATACTGCTCTGATGACGTCACCCAACTGATGACGTCACTAACTGATGACGTCACACCCACCGTTTAAAAGTATGAGAACATGAATTGGCCCTACAACAGTGACCTCTGGAAGCAGAGTGGTTACAGTTAGCTTGTTGTAGACAACACCCTTCATCTCCCTTCCTGTCCTGAAATAATAACACAGTTTAAGTCACGTGGTAATTAACTATTTCCACTTTTTCGGCGATGAAATTTATTTTAGTAGTCTCTCCAACTCCCCTCCAAATATGTTCATTTATTGGGGTGGTCAGAAGATGTGATGAGACGAAACTCAGCATAGGTACCACAACTTTCGTCTTGGTAGATTCCAAACACAAGGAAATTTTCCTTCTGGTTGGTAATATACTCAATGATGGAAGTATAGTGTATTGGCTATGCCCCGCTTACTAGTTTAGCTCTTTCTAGTCCCCTGCTACACGGCATGTAAACAGGGATTGGCAAGTTAGAGGCGGTCCGTGTAGGCCTTACACTGTGCTTCCAGCAATACTCATAGGTAGGTCACATAGGTAGGTCACATTCGTTATCAGTCGTTACGTCCACCTCCAACCCCCACCATTGATAAACAGTTATTTACATAATAGTATCACTTATGTATCATAATTAAGTTACTTATGATTAGATTAGATTTTTGGATAACTTCCTTCAAAGTCCCACTGTGTGGCCCAACATAATATTATAAATTTAGTGAAACTGTAGAAATTAAAGTAACAAAAGATGACGTAAATAATCAAATAAGGTAATTTAATTGAGTGCGATGTGCTCGTCATGATTTGTGATGTAACACATTTACACATTAGACTGTGTAGTATTGTGCAGTACTAGGACTGTACTAAGAGGAGTACAAGTTGGTCTGTTGCGGTTCTATTGTAAGAACACGCCTACATTATATAGTGTGGGCAGTAATGGTAGTGGGATCCAGATATACAATAGATACGTAATAGATTCGTTAAAATCCCAGGCACCTTAACAAATACCTTATAAAATCGATAGTCCTAAATATAAATTAAATTCATAGATGATACGTACGAACTCTACGAACTCCTCAGTGACAACGAACTCTACGAACTCATCAACCCAAAATTACGAACTCTTGAGGAGTTCGTTTTGTACAACTTACGTAAAATGAAATTAAACAGAAATTGTATTTACAATTCAGCCAATTCAACACATAACATACGATTGTAAAACAACTAAATATATTGGTACTCGAAACTTCTACCACGCGTCGCGTGTACACTGTACATTTCACAGTACTGGTCGATCGACTGGAACATTCTGGCGCCAATAGTTTGCGCGCGCACGTTCCCTGGACACGTTGCAGAAAACTTCAACTTGTACTTCTGGCGTTGCGTTTCGTTTTCTTCTGCTGTAAACAGCTGAGATCACACCGAATGTACATTGTACATTCAGTGTTCATGTACGATGTATACATTTTATTTTGCCATGTACAGCAGACTGAACTATTTGAAATTGAAGTGCACTGTGTATAGACTTATAGGTATAGTTGATGATTCAAATGTCATTGTAGGTACAACTTTCAGCAGTAAAGTAGACAGTGTACAGTACTACAGTAAAGTTGATATAATAATGTACAGTTTATAGTTATCTGTATGCATAGTTTGGTACGTGATAATGCCTGCCAAGATCGTACAGTTGGATTTCTAATTTCTTACTTTGCTAATTCTTTGCACTTTGCTGCGTCCTTCGTTGTTAGTTAGTTAGCTCTACAATTGCGTACACACTTTCCATAAGATCATGCGAGAAATCCTGAGCTGATTACTTTTAAAAAAAACATTTTCCTTTTTTTTTTTTGAAAAATTGACTAACGAACTCCAAATTTTGAACGAACTCCACGAACTCTACGCCAAAAATCAACGAACTCCGCATCTATGATTAAATTTACAAATTTAAAGCAGTCATTTTGTTTATTTTCGATTAAATATATGCTAAATTAAAATTTCGTTTTCCCCATGTTCACTAAAGTTTAATTATCTGCAACCAAAATCAAAACTAAATCCAAACCTTTTTCTTTTTAGATTTTTTGCGACGTCTCCTGAAATTTTCCGGACTGAATCTAAAAACACGTCGTTTGTGCTGTGCAAGTGATTTAAGAGAAGGCTTCTTCACTCCCCGGTACTTCTCCGCCACGTGACTCTTTTGTGTTGATATCTTATTGAACAAGTGCACTAGAACTTTCACCCTGCCTCGGCCCTGCTTTAACTTTACACAATTAGCACACAGTAACACCCGTCGATCGTGCAATGTTTCCGCGAAATCAAACGACTCAGCAGACGTTTGCTGGACGGACAGTCGCTTTAGAATTACATTCTCCAGAGTGGATCTCAGCACCACAGCAGGTTTGTCGAATGAGCCAGGGGATGGTACAGGACTGGGTGTTCCCATTTTCTGCTTTCTTTCTAGTAAATCTCGGAGAAAAGTCTTGTGATCTTCGAACCAGAATTCCCGGTCTGTTTCAATGTGGAACTGCATGAGGTTTTTGAGGAGGTTTATGTCTTGTAGTAGCTGAGTTTGAGCTGATATGAACAACATTGAGCCGGAGAAGTAGATTTTGTCTCCTTTATTCATCATGTCCGCTTTGTCTCCTTTATTCATCATGTCCGCTAAAATCACTCTAATGAAAATGTGTACTTGAGTTGCGTTATTAGATACTAATTGTCTCCTTTATTCATCATGTCCGCTAAAATCACTCTAATGAAAATGTGTACTTGAGTTGCGTTATTAGATACTAATTGTCTCCTTTATTCATCATGTCCGCTAAAATCACTCTAATGAAAATGTGTACTTGAGTTGCGTTATTACTCTGAACTCGTGACTGCGTTCAACGATACTATTTGCTGCTCCCAAAAACAACAAGATACAACAACGACAATAAAATTGTCTATAATACTATTATAATTAAAAAGGCGAAACAAAAAAAATGGAACTAGAAAGATATTCATCATTTGCTCACGAAAATCAGTCCAGTTGAGATTATCAATAATAATAGGACAATACTAAAAAAGATCGATCAATAAAAGTAACGTAAGATTGTGAGTCATAATCATAAAGACTTCCACACTATTGAGGAGTATGATGAACAAGCATTAAACTATGTGCATTGTGCAGTGGCCAGTGTACGAAAGTAAGCAGAAAGTGACTAGAAACAAATTACATGCTCACGATGAAGCACAAATAAAAGTGCCACCAAGAGAAAGATGAGTCCTACATAACGCAATATTAGTTAACTGTACTGCGTCATTAAGTTCTTTAAGTAATTCTTTAACGTAAATACTGAGCTCTCACAGATTAGCGTCAATTATAAATCACAAGTTAGTAACTATTTAGTAACTAGTAACTAGTAACTAGTTAGTAACTACCGTTATCTAATCACTAACTAGCGTTATCAGTTACTAAACCATCACTTCAGCCGCGACTAGTTATTATTAAGAATCAATACTTCCCGCAATCAGACAACGAATAGTTATATCATTAAACGAGTCAGCTATATTATCATCTTACTACTCTTTACTAGAGTACTCCCAGACAGTCATAAAAACTTAAAGACTCAACTAAAAAAAGGCAAAAAGCAAGGTTTTAACAGCTGGTGAAGGTAAAATTCTACAAAGCTTTGAAACTCAAAACCAATTGTCTCACGTGGGGTTGACGAACGAAATACAATACACAAATTTGTAACTTTTCTGTGGGACTTTTCAGGGGCATGTAATAGCATTACGTATCAAATCGTGTTATATTGTACGTATCAAATCACTAAAACTGACTGGCTAGCGAGACCGAGGAAGTTGGTATGAAACTTATTAACGTCAATACAGATAATCAATTCTCAAGAGAGATAAGGCTGCCAAGAAGTTAACAACTGTACGGCTTTTTGGATTACATGGAAATGCAAAAGACATTTACATTGCCTTAACAGCTTACAAATTAATGATTTTTGGAGTCTGGAGAAACGCGAAATTGGGATAAACGATCCCCAAAGTTCATTAATCAACGTACAAATATTTATCAAATTTTAGCTTGTAAAATTCCAAGCTGAGGTTAGTGGACAATTTCCTGTAATAATAGTAATATTTATAAAGCAACAAAAACATTAAATAATGGGCTCCTCGCACGAGTAGTCAAAAGCATACACTCTATGATAGTTATTTGTAGTCACAATTATTAACAGTATAGAAGTCACTAAAAGTCAGTAGCAGTGCCCAAGTCAGAGAAGGAACGTCTTACAACTACAGAAACTTGACTGCTATCACTCTGAATTCATTTCCCTATATACCCTAGACTTATACGCATTCCGACAGGGTCATCAAATTCTACTGAATATGTCAGAGATTATGGAATTAGTGTCTCCACTGAACCATACCATATAAGCCGAGATTATGGCGGACAGAAACGCAAAGCATCGGAAATAATCAACAACTGTCACAAGTTAAATTGGATGGGGGAGATGTCACGATCCAGTAAATCAGTTGATCACCATATAAAGATAAAATTTAAGATCAGTTGCCAGTTATTTTGGGATTTGCTCAGGTTATGATGTCGTAGATCTGTGATTCTTTGAAACAAGTTTGTTGCAGAGGTTGAGGGGGAAGAGGAGGTTGTCAAAAACGTATTATTTTGTCGTAATTAAATTGTCTTGTCTAAGTATTTATCTTTTTGGTATTTATAGAATTCAATTTTCAAACTCCACATATATAACCATGATACCAGTAACCAGCAGTCAACAAAAATAGCACTGAGGTTAGGATACTCCTGCTTCTATTTTTGTTAAATCTCTATTGAAACTCTGCCCAAAAATGTCTTGAAGTTTAGTCAAGTCATCAAATGCCAAGACCACGTATAGTTGCACAGTTTTACAGTTTTACAGTTATATAGTTTTACAGCTGAGAAAAAAGTGGAAATAATATAATCGTAATACCTTTGCCAGCATCGAAGCAGTCCCGCACCTTCAACGTCAGCTCCGCAAGAAAAACACCATCTTGTTCATTGCTTGTTTCCTATGAAAATTGTTAGTCATATAAGTGTACACGTAACACAATTTTATATGTAGCTAGGCAAAATCATAATCAGGTACTTCGGCTTAAATAAATCCGAAAATAATCACGAGAATCCAGATAATAGTTTTATAGCGATAAAATTATTTCTGACAAAAAACATTATCAGTGACAGGGATTAAACAAATAACAAGAGTCAATACCCAATGTTTATTTTACAAAGTGTAACAAGTTGTTGATATTAAATCACCATAATACTGCTATAATAACAAAGGTAACACTTGGAGTAATGACCTCATTATTTAATTAAGCTATATCATTGTGTTTCTTTCAGGTGGTATCCCAGACTTACAATTTATTTTGGGTCACATACATTTAGTATTTTCAATTTTTTCGTGTTTCTCAATATGATTGATTGATTGATATAAATAAATAGATAAATAAAGTCGAGTTTTATACAGCAATTTATCTTTGTTTGAGTTATTTAAGGAACTATGGAAGATGCTGCGAAGGATGAAGTAAATCATATCATAAGGCTGTTAGTAATACACCCTACTAGGCTAGGTAGGGCCTGTCGTGATATCATGGATCGCTTAGGTTCCACCAGGATCTGGTAGTCCTCATAATTCTGTATTTCCCTAGCCTTAGGCTAGGGAAATACAGACATACATATCAAACATAATTGTGAATACTGCCCTAAATAAAATGTAAACATGAAACGGTAAACTATCAACTTGTCGTCAATTTATCTATATTAAATAATATGATGTCATGAATAACGTATTTGAATTAATTTAATTTACATAACATACAAATGCACAACTTAGCATTACACTGCTTGATGATATTACAAAAATCATGAACATATTATTCACTTTAATTATATTAAAACTAGTACCTAATATGATTAAAAACAAACGAGGATAAAACAGCAATGACCTGAACACCGATGACCGAGGAGGACTTTAAATTTAGGCTGTCAAACAGAGAAGCAATATTGTATCATAATATTCCCAATTTCGAATAAGGCTGTCACAGTTCTTTCTTATTATGAGAGGCTGAGCACTGTAATTATAGAATAGTATCGAATGCAGATTAGTCATCAGAACATTCATGTAAATGGCAAAGAGTGCCCATGATCTAATCAGTTAATCAGTCGAAAAGACAGTGGTATCACTAACTGTGATCTATGATACTATTGATCTCACTAAGTCCCGATTTTCTTGAATTGTGCAACTAAAGCAAAATATGGGTTGGTATGTTACCAACTGTTAAGAATGATCAACATTCAGAATTAATTATCAATTTGTCTTTTTAGCCAAAGCTTTTTTCAGACCATTACAAATGTATACTTAAATAATTTAAGGAGAGTTCTCTTCAAATTATAAGACAATAGGGATAAAAATTAGGACCTACAAAAATCAAAACAAAATGCAGCCACCTAATTTGATGCTTTAAAGCTTTCTGTTCTCCTACGATTGACTAGAGAGGAACCATCTTTGGCAAGTATTAGGAACTTAGACCATTATAAATACCTTGCTGTAAGTTTGCAAGGCATGTGGACTAAGTGGGTTGAGAGTACTCGACTTGAAAGTGGGTGTTGAGAATCCTCAACTAAACTAAAGATAATAACGTCCATAAGATGAGACAGCAGAGTGAGTAGTAGAGGCTGAAGGAAAAGAAATGTCACAAGGAGATGGGCAGGGAGAGTATTATAATAATCATCTTTATGATAGTTCACCAATGGCAATTTGTGCTAGAGAGCGGCAGTGATGCTGTCATCACCATCATCTCTTAAGATAGACCAACATGGTTGGTCACTAGAGGAATGCTCTTGTAAGGCATGCAAGGCAGGGGTGCAGGAAGCAGGGGGCCCCCCATAAAATCTGGGCAAGGGGCCAAAAGGGCCAACTTTTTTATTTAGGTTTCTAAAATGTTCAAATACTTTTTCAAATATTATTTCATACAGATAATGGATAGCCTAATATCATTTCTTTTTGTTTGGAAAAGGGAGACACTGGCCACAGTACACTTTACCCAACTTTTGGTTTTGTACAATCCTCATATTTTAGTAATAACAGTTTTTTGTTCTACTATGATCAAATTATCAGCATTCAGCATTCAGCATTCAGCATTCAGCATTCAGCATTCAGTATTCAGTATTCAGTATTCAATAAATTTGATTAATTATCCTACGAAAAAATGTGTATTGACTTGTTAATTTAAATCAAAAGTACTATAATAAAAAGCTATGATGTACAGCGTTGACATGTGAACTCTACCCTATATTTAGCCCACTTCTAGGTCAATTAAATTCTACTGATAGATCACATCACTAATTATACATCACTAATTGGTGACATGATCTGATCACCATGGGACCCCTAATAATAGGGGGGCCTGGAAGTCGTGCAGCCCACATATTGGCTTGCCCATGGTCACGTGATATCGATCCTGCATGTCTATAAATAAAGTGAAGTAAAGTAAAGTAAAAATTATGACATAACATCTTACTATATATAAAGCGGGACGATATATATATGGATCCGTACCATTTAACTGACACCACGGCATCAACTTTAACGCAACTTTCCGCAAAAACCGTAAAAGATATACAACTGAAACTTTTTTGACTGGGTCAAATGCTTTAATGGCCTTCAAATCAGTATGAACAAATACAAAATTGGCCAAGGAATAGGAGTTTTAGAGCCCAAAATTTGGACCCTCAAGTGGTGTCAAAACGCGAATTAAATAGGTAATTTAATTATTTTAGGCTCTTGAGTCTTGACACCATTTTATTTTTAGGGTATACGGGTTCCTGCTAGTCATCACTAATGTCTACAAAGTATCAGCACACTACATGGAAAATATACTGTAACTATTTCTCCATCAAATACCCACACACAGACCAGTAAGTCAGTGACTTCTTAGTCTGTTCGAGTTCTGATATTGTCATGTGAAGTTATTTCTTCTGACCTCGTATTCCGTTCTTTTTCTCTCGTCATTTTAAACCATAACAATTTTGATGAGGGTCAAAGAATCAAAGAATTTCTGCCTGTTTTAATTTCAGCTGGTATTGTCTTGATATATCTAGATTTTGTATTCAAATACAACAGTCCTCGACATTTCACTTTGTGCCCCAATATACCTTTAAAACAGGATCTACAGGGTGATCAACCACATAGAATTTTACTTTTTTGAAAATGATTACCAACCTCATTATTAGCAAAATTTAGCAAAATTTAGCAAAATTTAACTAAATTTAACAAAATTTTGCAAATTTTTCTGTCCAATTTTGTGGATGATGATTAATCACTCTACACTCGACTGTCACGTGACTCTTTCAACCCGTTCTCTAGCTGGTTCTGAACGACTTTTCGAAACCCTAACCCTCTAATCTGATCCCAACTCTAACCCTAACCCAATCCTTAACAAAAACATGTGCTGAAACCTTAACGGGTGACACTCGTAAAATATTTGTTCCATAAACCCGATACCGTCGATGAGTCCAACTCGGCGCGCGTCCTGGTAGGTTGTAAACCTACAACTGAAACCCTAACCCTAACGAGAAATTAAACTAACTTCCTTATCCCAGGAAAAGTTACCGGCTGGTGGTGGTACTAGAGTTGGTTTAATTTAAACAGACGGCTTGACCTCGCGCGCGACAACAAGCATGATTTGCACGCGTGGCGCATTCCAATGTTCAGGCAGCCACCACGTGACACAATTCAGCCAACCAGAGTACAGGAATCCGCAAAGTTAAAGTTGCAAACTTTTGATTGGCCCGAAAGGGGACTTTTCTGGAGATTTTGAGATAACCCAACAATTACGTTGTCTTGAATTTTCCTCCTGGAGAGGTAACGTTACTTTTAAAAGAGGAACATGTTACAAAAAACCGGAAGTCTCCAACTCTTTTACTTTCAAAGTTAAGCCCCATCCGGTCAGGGTTCCTGGGTGCAGCTGGCTGACGCCGAGTAGGGTGTTTTGGCCGTTCTAACTTAAGACTTTTATGAATTAAAGCAGCCGTATTGATCTTCGGTTTCACTAATTCACTCGCCATGGATTATAGGAAAAGGGCGCGTGTTTGTATTTCGCATTGGATATAAAGATGACCAATGATATTGCAGTGTTTAAGTCACGTGCGCGTGATTTAGCGCGCTTGCGTGTGCTAGCTTGAGCTGACATCAGATACAAACTTTTGTTCCTGACTCTCTCTCACTCTCTCTCTGCATTATACCTTCTGATAAAATCGCTTGCAGTTTGTTGAATATCTAGATGTCATCTGTCATTTGCCGTAAAGTGATACCCTTCTCGTACGCTTTTGTTATTGTTATGGTTTCAATGTCATGAGAGCTACATACATCCAAGAAAAATGTATGATTTTGGCACTTTTTTATGTGGCACTGTCCACTGTTTGTATTTTGCATTGTCGCCACGGTTGCAATCGTGGAGATAGCTGCCGCTACTTCCATACCCAACTTTGCCAAAATGGTCTTGTCTATAACTTGTGCCTAAACAATGAATGCAAGCTCATACATATTCGAGGTGTAAACTGTTAAGCGCATCAGCAGCGCCAAACCACCCACTAAACCTGTTCCAACAGGAAAGAAAGGGGATGTCCCTCCTGCACAAGACAATCATAAACGCAGCAGGAAGAATACATCAACTTTGAAGCCGCCTCAAGATAAAAATGCTTCGAAATATTTTAGCAACAAGGATCTTCTCCAGCATTTGGACCAGTTGAAAGTGGATTGGATGTAAGAGATTTCGTGCATGATTCAAAAATCACTCGAATCAATGATGGCCTCTTATCTACCCTCCCAGAGGCAGATATATCTTCGTCCGGGTGTTCAGTACTCAACTGCAGTTCAGCAACCCTACCAACAAGCCCCTCATCTCCCCAGGGCTACCCTGCACACTGCAGTGCACAGCACCTGCAACAGCCTGCTCTCTACCAACCGCTGCTGGGAAAGTAGACCTCAAGTCAATACTTCCGATCTCCTCAACATTTCTTCTTAACATACAAGGAAT